TCTCTCCCATAAACCTCCTGCGCCAACACAATACCTTTCACCACCTACCACACTCTCACCCAAACCCATAACACCAACTCTACCACCCACCCCACACAAAAACCGATCATCGACCCAGACACGCGTTATTTCCCTCTCTACACGGACCAAAACACACGCGTTCAGACAGACCTGACACGTGCGGCTCGTTAGTGCTTACGCTGTCCCCCATTTATGGCTCGGTTCCCCTCTCGCATCATCCCACGCTCGTTGTTAATTTCTCCGAAAAGGAGCACGGATCATGCCTTGTTTCGGATGTCGGTTTTCTGTGACAGGACGGGATTGAGCGGGACGGGTCATGCGAGGTGTGGGGGGAGGGTGTTTCGGGGGAGATGAGGTTGCGTGTTGGAGGAGAGGGGGAATTGGGGAGCATTGGGGAAATGGGTTGGTGCGGGTGGTGAGTGAAGATCTGTAGTAGATGCGTACGAGCTGTGATGGTTCGGAGGTCTTATTTTCTTGAGGTGTGTACTGGCGAATTCAACGTATCGTTTTCTCCAAATTTGCTTTTATTCCTGCGATATAGGTCCTAGGCGTAACAGGCTATGAATACGAGACCTAGCATAAGTAGCAAGGGTAAAAGGCATAGTAAATGTTGACTAGAGATTCCACCGGATGCTGGATCTTGCTGCTTGTTCGAGTTTCGATATGTTATAAATCCCGTTCTGGTATGCGTGATGGTCACTACTGAGGCGGCCTCATCGCGTAGGCGCGGTATGAGTTTTAGAACTTTGAGTGACTTGTCTCTACGTCATTGCTGTACCAAGAGATAGTGGGACTTGACTAAAGCATCACATCACATTCAATTTGTGTACCAGAGAGGATTTTGAGTTTGGAAGTTGGCCACATCGCTGCGCCTCGTTCTGCACCCTTTCCTTACTGCATGTGCTCATTCATCAGGAATCTTCATACTACGACAACAACCTAACCCTACTTAGAATTTGTAGTACCCACCGCAAACAGTCAAATCACTAATACCAGCGCCAACAACCGCCTCTGAGAGCCAAAGCGTCACTATAAGATAGATCACTATCTCAAGGTCTCCTGCTTGACGCAAAGAGGTAAGCGTCTGAGCCAGAGGCAGTACGCTCAGGTAGATATGAGAGACGGAGAGAGCGTACGAGTGCACAATACCCCGGGACTACGATCGATCCACAAGGAGACATACCAGGTTTTTCTGCTGCTTTAAATCATGAATGGGCTGATGGGATTTCAGAGAGGGCTTGTAAGAATGTGTATGGCACGCCTCGAGCATAGTCAATGAAAGGAAATCAGGAAGATGAAGCAATTTGTTTCAGGGTTGTTGTCCACGAGATTAGATGATCTTGTTCTAGTCTCCAATTCGTATTATAGCTTTACTGTATAGTATGCCAAATGACACGCCCTAGTCATGTCGCTGTCGCTGTCGCTGTCGCTATTGCTGTTGCAAGACATACTGTCAAGTTTTGTCTATTGCGACTTCGTAATTGCATGATGTGCGTCGCTAAAACCGCCTTTCCTAAGTTAGTATCTTACACGTAGCTATACATTGTCACCCATCACCAAAATCCATATCTTGGTCCCGCGTGCAGACATTCATCTCTGATACTAGACCTCGCAAGATCTACAATCGCATAACACGGCATCCCACATATTTCAATATTAACCAGGACTAATAGGGAAGTGTTTTAACATCACCGGGAACTGAGTTCGCGAAACACTGCACTCAGTCAAGTGCTTACGCTGACATTAACCCAGGTCGCAGGATCGGTCCCTAGGTCCACTCTCGCAAAAGCTTTTCCCTGGGACGCCTGAACAGACTAAAGCAGCGGAGACACCATGAACTAGCAGCATTGTGGCTTCAGGATCGTGAGATTGCCCTATTGCAAGGCTAGAGACAAACAAGTGTCACAAGATGCGTGTCGACATTACGCCCTACGCATCCAACAGACTATGCTGCAAAGAGCTTCTGCGCCGTCATGGATTCCACCTTATGGGAAGATATAAGCGATTCCAATAAACAAAGAAAGGACAAATCGAACGGAAAATTAAGCTGCTAGCATGCATGTGATGCAGTACGTGATGTGTCGCTGAGTAGATGCGCGGGACGATGCTGACGCGCGCAGATCGGAAGCGAGGCTTACTGTTACCGTTTAGTCCGCTGCTTGAGGCAGGGTTCGAGAGTTGTTCGCGTGATTACCCGTTCGTGCTCACCCAGCAGCATCTTGAAGAAGAGGCTGGCTGGAGAGCGCGTTTAGTGGCCACAGTTGGACGGCTTGTACCGTAGTATTAACGGATATCTGAGGATGTGGTAAAAAGCTAAGACGTGAACGGGTGAGCGTTTGAGGAGATGATGTAGGGCTGGAATAGACTGCATTGCGAAGCGGCGGAGCGTAGATGGCATGCAGTGCCAAGCGCTGGATAGCATCAGCGCTTTTGGGAGTTGGAGAAGTTGAAGACAATGTATGGCTCTTGGTTGCTGTATAGTATCATACTCGAAACGGCGTACTATTGAGCAATGTTCCTCATTGCATAAACACCCAAGTGCCCAAGCCGTTGCGATGCTTGGCACAGCGGGTGTCGTTGAGAAGGGCATCCTTCCTGAGTTAGCACATCGCCAAGACTCCTATCGTGTCACCACCCGCGCAGATATGAGATGACTCAGTAGACGCGATGTGGTGACAAATGGTATAAGCGAAAGGGTGAACAGGCGGGGTGCGCCATTGCGTGGTAACAACGAGCTGTGTGCCCTTGTCACTTCCTCTCTGCCCCATAGAGATCGGTCACAGTGCCATTACTGTCAGATTGCCTGCAAATCGTTCGATCACAGTATAGCTTGTCCTTGTTTAGGCTTGCGTAGCGAGGATTTGTACCTGTCACGACGCGTGCCGGTCTCGGAAGTGATTGGATACACAGCGTTGGTTGTTATATCAAGATCTCGGGGTACCACGACTTGCTGAACATACTGATAAGCAACTTTGGCGTAGATGAAGGGTCATGACACAGCATGTGGGTTGGTGTACGGCTGAAATGGGTCAACTGAGTGAGCTGATCATTGCCTCTTCATCATGAGCGCACCAAATCCGAGAGCCATGAGTTATCATCTGGCCCCGAAACTTTGACGATGGATGCAGTGAACTAGAACCCCACTTCAATTGGAAGTAGCCAAGACCAGATATACAAACTTGCATGAAGACAGCTTAGATCGGTATAGGAGTTACTGCCGTCTTAGAAGCCCCCAAGCCACTTCCGCACGATGTCTGCACAAGCGAAGTGTGACAGGCTGAATCCTGCGAGTACATCTGCAGTGTGTGAGCGTTGTTGACTGAAAGTAGCACCTGTCGAACGGATGAATGTATCCGACTATCCCCGTCACACTGGTAGCGATTAACGTCCCTAGGCGAAGAATACCAAAGGGCGAAAGATCTGGTTTGACCGTAACTATAAACAGATGATATGCGTGACACGTATGACATTCGGTAAGCATGGCCTTTGAACCGGCCGCTAAAAGCTGACTGCATCGTCTTCGAAGGATCTAAGGCCGGCGGCCGTGGGGTCCGTCGCTGTTCGCATAAGCCGATCGTGCCTGCTGCCGGGCGAAATGCGGGTATGAGTTTCTCCAAGGTGACGGGAGCAACGACTGGTCTGTGACATTGACCATTGTCGATATTAGGACGCGCTCTGCGTCTAAGGATTTCCGCTAGGCACGGACGGAAAGTTTGCAGGGTTGTTCAGTCGTTCGCGATTCCGTTTGGCAATCTCAGCATTCCGCAGCTTGTCTAGACGCATTTGATAGAAGTTCCTGTGCAGGGTCAGTATGTAGCTGGAGCAAGGAGTCTGTAAATGCGGCCCCACTTGTTGAGTTGGTATATGCGCGGGCCAAGTTCAGCCTGGGCTTGATCCTTGGTTTTGGAGAGCTCCTTGATCTGCATAGGGAGTTAGCACAGTGATGAAGTGAAGGTGCACATCACATGCTTTGTCGTCTTTGGCTTTCTCATCCTGCTTGTCCTCCTCTGCTTCTTTTCCTTTGGCCTCCTTCTCTTTCTCTTTGTCTTTTTCCTTGTCTTTCCCTTTTCGCTTTTCCCGCTTGAGCTTTTGCTTCTCCTCGTACTCTTTCTTCACAGCTTCGATCTCACGATCCAGCTCTTCTTGCTTCTTCTGGTCTGCGACTCGTTTGGCTTCATCCGCTTCCGGTTGACAGAATCCACGGTCGACCAAGTGTCCAGGACATATGTAAAAGAAGTCCTTCAAATAAGTTAGTATGGCTGAAGTACAGCCTACCATTCGTCGTTTCGCACCTTGTTGGTAGGAGTAATCAAAACACTGGTAGATGGCTTGTAGCAGATCCAGCAAGCCTTCGCGGCGTTGTCCGCCACACGACGAAGATGCCATAGATTCTCCATCGAGATTCCAAATTGTGTTCGCGGTTGTTGTCTACGTCGGTAACAGAAGCGCGCGAGTGCGCAAAGTACCTAGGTATCTAAGATGACGCAGAACGCAGTAAAACAGCAACAGACTAGTCTCCTAGTTACTCTAAGGTCTATATTACTCCAGAAATCAACCGAGTGATATGAATGCTTGATGCAGTCTGGGTTTGTAGTGACGAAAAAGGGCGCAGAGGTTGGTAGTCGTGATGAAGGGTGGCTGTGCGAGAGATGCCAGCATTGAAACTAGGCTCGAAGCGGCTTAGTCAGAGTCACTTTGAGGCAACCACGATCAATCCAACGAATAGATTCCCACCATCAGTGTCATCAATGTTTCTGAGGTCCTCTCGAACTCTGAGGCTCTGCAATTCCAGCCCCGAAATCTATCCAGCTCTTAATCTGCGCCCTCTCAGCCCCATCGGAGCTCTGTCTAGCAATTTTGCAAGTGCGTCATCACGTTTTCCGTCTTGAAAGAGAACATTTTAAATTGTATATCCCGTACTAATAGACGTCCTAGCCATAAGACCATTCAGCGGGAATCCAAAACTAAATATACCCAACATGGCAACGGAAGCCCCTCAACTCAAATACATCGATGTCGGTCCGCATCCCACCACCTTACCCCATCCACCACTAACCCACCCCAGATTGGCATCAACTTCACTGACCCGATCTACCGAGGAGAATATCACGGCACCAAAAGGCACGAAGATGACTTTGAAGACGTGATCCAACGCGCCGTGGACGCCGGCTGCAAGAAATTCATGGTAACAGGTTCCGACCTCGAGGAATCCAAACACGCCGTCGAGATCGCCAAAGCGCACCCAGGACAATGCTACGCAACCGTCGGTGTACATCCCTGCTCAGCAAAACACTTCGATACGCATCCTGGAGGTCCATCGGAACTGCTATCTGCGTTGAAGAGTCTGGCGCTTGAGGCTAAAGAAGCGGGTCATGCGGTGGCGTTTGGCGAGATAGGCCTTGATTATGATCGACTGTTCTTGACGGCGAAGGAGCCGCAGTTGAAGTACTTTGAGGCACAGTTGGACATCGCGATTGATGTACAGCTACCGCTGTTTCTACATTCGCGAGCTGCGAGCGAGGACTTTGAAAAGATTCTCACGGCGAAGTTGGAGCAGTTGCCGAAACGGGGGCTGGTGCATAGTTTTACTGGAACGGCAGAGGAGATGAAACGGCTTGTTGATTTGGGGTTTGATATTGGGGTTAACGGGTGTAGCATGAAGAGTGAGTGTTTTATTTGCCCATCACATATCGCGCTACTGTTGGTTTGAACTCGTGCTGACTTTGTGATACAGCCGATGAGAACATCGAAGTCGTCAAGCAAATACCACTTGAGCGTCTGCAAATCGAGACGGACGGCCCGTGGTGCGAGATGCGACCTAGTCATGCATCAGCCAAGTATCTGCAAGACGCACCGCCGCTACCCAAGGCGGTCAAGAAGGAGAAGTTCGCCAAGGGTATGATGGTCAAGGGTCGGAATGAGCCAGCTACGATACCACATGTGGCACATGCGATTGCAAAGATCAAGGAGATCACCGTAGAGGAGGTTTGCGACGCGTAAGTCTATCCTGTCCCTTCTGATATGTACAACAAGAAGATGCTAATCATGATGTAGAGCATGGAGGAACTCGATCAAAATGTTTGGACTCGGTGAGACAGCGTAACCCCATCACACCTTACTTGGTATAGACTATGCATATAGAAGATCGATTTGTACAAGAGGAATCTGCTCCCTCAAAACTCGCAGATAAAACGACCAATGACTAGACCGCACATCCCAAAACACACTCTACTTCCTGTACCACATCCTGGTGATCTTGGTATGCCTCATCTTCTTCTGCAGTTGGAAGATTCCGTACATGAGCGCCTCGGCAGTAGGCGGGCAGCCCGGTACGTAGATGTCTACTGGCACGATTCTGTCGCAACCTCTTGTGACCGAGTAGCTGTAGTGGTAGTATCCTCCTCCGTTAGCGCAGCTGCCCATGGAAATAACCCATCGTGGGTCGGGCATCTGGTCGTAGACCTGTCGCAGCGCTGGCGCCATCTTGTTTGTGAGGGTTCCGGCTACGATCATGACGTCGGATTGTCGGGGCGAGGCACGGAAAATAATACCGAGACGATCCTGATCGTATCGTGGGGTGGACAAGTGCATCATCTCGACGGCGCAGCATGCGAGACCGAAAGTCATGGGCCATAGGGAGCTCTGGCGGGCCCAGTTGGCTACTTGGTCGAGTGTGGTCCTGTTGCCGCATGTTAGCCTGTGCCTTTGTACATCCCATCCTGTCGCCCTGTCCCATGCTCCGGGGCCTTTTCAAGGTATCACATACAATGCGTATTGCATAGCACCCTTCTTTCCCTCCTGACTCGGCAATGGCACCTCAACTCGCGCGGACTTCATCGGTGGTGGCGCTCCTGGGTTGCCGGGGATCGTCGCGGGCGTCTTCATGGTCGTGGCCCTATCCGAAGAGCTCGAGGAGAGAAAAGCAGCGCTTCCGGCGCGGAAGGGCATGAGCGCCGTCGCGGGTTTGGCTGTCCATATTGTCAGTCCCGGTCGGCGGCGAGCTTTCGGGGTGGCGGGGACAAACCTCGCAGAGCCATTGAGGCCGCATACCGTGTTGTCGAGAACATGATTGCGACAGACACAAGGGAAGGTCGGGAGGGAAGGAGTGGAGAGGCGAGATGTGGGGTGGCGGTCGAGGAGTCGCGAAGTTGTGTCGATGAGGTAGGTGCAGCAAAGTGCTTGGCGGAAATCGATTAGTCGTCGATTTTGGTGGCGTCTGATAGGTTAGCCGGCGATCGCTCCTCCCTCCATCACCCTTTCGGTCTACGTCGGCCAGCCTACTCCGCATACTCCCAGATCCACCAAACCTATCCAAGCTTGTGATATCGTTTCAACATGTCAGGCCGGGTAAGAGTGAAAGTTCCAAGGGCTTGGAGTATGCGCTGATGACTGTCCCAGGTCCCGTCCATTGCGTGCATCGGCGTAATTGGCAAGCATGTTAGTACACGTGGTATACATCTCCAACCTAGATAGAATTAACCCTTTTGATAGAACAATCCTCTTCACATATCACTTTTCCCAGCAGAAGAGAGGGCGCCACTGGAATTCCAGTTCCTTCTTTCGTCATGTCTAGACATCTTCGAAGCCCGCCTACCGCACAAAACAGCAGATCAAGACTTTGGCCTTCTCCAGGCCGTCGATGAGAGGTTAGCAATGTATGGCTGGCTCACCAACACCGGAGTCAAGTTTGTCATTGTGGTCGATATGGAAGGAAGACCAGCTACTGCACTTGACAGCAAGACGTCGACTGCCGTTGGGCTGCGAGATGCAGATATGAAACCCGTAAGCTTGAAGCTATCGAGATAAGCGTCGTATTCTAACATTCATTAGGCGTTTAGGGCGTTGCAGACAGCTTACATCAAGCTGTTAAGAAACCCGTAAGACTCCAGGACGATGCTCGGTTGAGACGCATACTGATTTTGGTGCCATTATGTAGGTTCTACGACCCAGATGAGCACTCTCCAGTCACAGCAAATGCCGAGCAAAGGATCGGCTCGACTCAAATCACAAGTCGCAAGTTCATCCAAGAAGTCAAGAAGATAGCCGACGCATGGTCTCCAGGCGTTACCAGCATTTGATTCAACCTTATACCAAGCACGATACCATGTTGCATCAGGCCGGCGTTTATAGCAAATATTCGATTTCCACGTTCTGATTGCCAACCTCCCTTCATTCGATGCCGCGTACCACGTCGATAAAATATCGGGACTTCCCAAAAGCGCTAGCGCCGATTGCAGTCTAGTCCAATGTCATGGCAGATCACCTCGGCCATATCGAACACTCAAACATCATGCCACATAGACTTTGACTCTTCCAACCAATGACTACCAATGCCTTCCACCGGTGTTACCATCACCAACCCCTTGGTGCTCTATCGCAGTCTCATTGCTACACAGAAGATCCGACCTGATCCTGCGCAGCATCGCCTGGGTATGACGTCTACCATTTAGACGAAACTAGTGTGAGGATGTACTAACATGAATTACAGCATTACATTTGCAGAAGCTCTACGACCGTTTGATTGACTATGAACCGAGTGTAGAGTATTCCAAGAGACTCCAACAACTTACCAGAGCTGTCGATGCGGGTCAAGATGCATCATCATCAACGGATACCCATGTCAACCGCTTCGGTAGAAGGGGCGTGTGGACATCTCTCCTTGCGCAAAAAGACAAGAGAGACTCTGTAGCACTGACGCGCGTCCTAACCAGCCACGATGAAGCCATGCAACTGCAAAGTCCAAAGGGCCTCATGCTCCACGGCGAGGTCGGGACGGGAAAATCCATGCTCATAGACCTGTTCCAAGACTGTCTACCAAACCGCAAGAAGCGACGCTGGCACTTCAACACCTTCATGCTCGACACCATCTCGCGTCTCGAGCAACTCCGTATGTCGAGATCGCTAGTCGCCGGCCCGGGAGCTACTCACGACGAATATTCCCTACTCCTCGTGGCACGCGACCTCATCGAGAAGTCTCCTATCCTCTTCTTGGACGAATTTCAACTCCCAGATCGTGCGGCTAGCAAGATTTTGTCTAATCTTATGACATCCTTCTTCCAGCTTGGCGGCGTGCTCATTGCGACTAGTAACCGCATGCCGGAAGAGCTGGCCAAAGCCGCAGGAATGGAGTTTTCGCGCCCAGTAAACCGCCTCAGTCGCCTGGGATGGAGTATGAGCAAGAGCACGTATACGCGCAGAGACGATGGAGCGGGCCAGATGGGAGAGTTCGCCGCGTTCTTGGAGGTGCTTAGGGCGCGGTGTGAGGTTTGGGAGATGGAAGGAAAGAAGGATTACAGAAAGATCGAGAGGGAGGAAGAAGAGGAGAGGAGGGATAGTGTTCAGATGCCTGCATCCGAAGCTCTCGCCAGCACCACGTCAACTTCAACTCCAGTAGCTGGGGCGACAGGTACCGCAGAAGTCTCCGACGCACCAACAGACTCCAACCCATCAACCTACCTCCCGAAGAACTACCTCATCCAACCCACCACGGCCGAAAACATGATCGAATTCGGAGAATCTTTCAACACAGTTGTCGAGTCCGCAACCAACCACTCCTACCCCATCCCCTGGGAACCCGCAACACTCACCGTGTACAACCGGCCCTTAGAGATCCCCGCGCAATACAACGGCGTAGCATTCTTCACATTCGCGGAACTCTGCGGCGCGGTCCTCGGTCCCGCAGACTACATCACGCTGGCATCCACCTACCACACGTTCATCGTAACCGACGTACCCATCATGGGTCTGCTAATGAAGAGCGAAGCACGACGCTTCATCACCCTCCTCGATGCCATGTACGAAGCCCGCTGCAGACTAATAATCACCGCAGCCGCCGGCCCGGACGGAATCTTCTTCCCCGCCAAAATCCCCTCCGCATCCAGCGAACCAGGCCAAGAAACCCTAGACTCCGACGCCGTGTACCCAGAAACCTATTCGGAAATCTACCAAGACCTCAACTCGCCCTTTAGACCAAACATTTCTTCCTACTCTTCCGACACGCTGGCTGAAGACGCACTCGAAGACGACCCGCCGAACCGGTCTCGCCAGGCGGGCACGTCGTTCACGGACGAACGCAAGTTTGGGCCTGGCAGCCCCGACTTTGCGAATATAGGGGGCTTGACGGGTGAGGATGAGAAGTTTGCGGTTAAGAGGGCCGAGAGTAGGATTTGGGAAATGTGCTCAAGGAAGTGGTGGGAGAGGTTTGCTGCTGCTTCGTCGGCATCGGCGACGGGTATGGAAAGTAGAGACGGGACCGGTTGGTGGAGGCCGTTGCCGGTGGAGTCGAGACATTGGGAGAAACCTTTTTCTGCTATTGGATCTCGTCCTGCTCCTGCTGCTACTCCTGCGCCGGCCCCAGATTCGCTACCGCCGAATACGAAGATTCTGTCTAGAGAGGAGTTGGAAAAAGATCGACAGAGAGAAATGGAGGATATGTTCAAGCATGGGGCGAGTCCGTTCCGAACGCATCCTGATGCGCCCCCGAAGTTTAGCTGGACGCATGCTTGGGGGATGATGACGTGGGGGAAGAAGGCTGGGGCTTGGGGAAAGGGTGTTGAGGGATTGAAGGAGAGGAAGGATGGAGATGAAGTGAATGGTGAAGAAGGGAAAGAGGCTGGCGAGGTGAAGGAGAAGAAGAGGGAGTGAGGTGGGCATGTAGTTGAATAGTTGTTTGGGTAGCTTGGTATATATTCATCGTAGATGTGAAGGTCAAAGTTCGTATAATTTTCTCTCATTCGAACCACGGATCTAGTCACTGGATATTTCCCTTGTTTACTACAAACGCTTCCAGCGCGGAGATGGCAGCCCATAACCTGTTCTCCGCCTCCTTGAATACAACACTCCTGGGTCCGTAGAAGACCTCATCGGCAACCTCCTCGGGATGCCTGGGAAGGCAGTGCATGAAGCTCCAGTTGTCCTTGGCACCGCCCCGTTTCGCCAGCTCAGATGTGATCTGGAAGCCTGAGAAGGCTTTTAGGCGTTTGGCGGTTTCCTCTTCCTGGCCCATGGACACCCAGGTATCTGTTACGAGGATATCAGCGTTCTTGATGGCTTCTTCGGGTGTGTTTGTCTCGAGCAGTTTTCCCGGGTGGGGAGAGGTTTGCG